CTGGGGCGGCAGCTGCGGCCCCAGCTTCGCCGAGCCCCGGAGCCGTGATCGGCCGGTGGGCTGCACGTTTGCAGGCTGCTGCTCCCTTGGCACCCGCCGGGGCTTTGTCACTCGCCTGCAGCCGCCGCCGCCGCCGAGCCTGCGGAGCTGTCCTCCCGCCCGCGCTCCCTCTTCCGCGCTCAGCATCCCTCGCCCGCCCGGCCTCGCCACCGCCCATGCTGCGTCTGGTGTCGGGAGGCGAGCCTGCAGACACAGGCGGCAGCTTGGTGACCTCAGCCCGGCCCCCGAGCGCCGCCAGAGCCGCTCCCGCCGAACCGGGGACCCCGTGTCCCGGGATGGCTCGGCCCGCACCGCGCCGCGCCAGGTGCCCGCCGTGCACCCGCTGAGCCGCGCCCGGCTAGGGACCGCAGGGCCTGGGTGCTCCGAGCCTTCGCCTCCCCTCCGCGCCCTTTCCCCTCTACGCGCTCCGCTACTGCTCGCCAGGGCGAGGGGACAGGGGGCCCAGACAAAACCCACTTTGTGCGGTAGGCGGGCGTGGAATGTGCGCGCGGTGCGCGCCCCCGCCCCGTCCCTCCAGCTGCGAGCCTCCGCTCCCCGACGCACCACAGAAGTCGCCGGTTGTCGCGCTTCAGTCCCGGGGAACTGACTCCGAGCTCACGCGGTTCCAGGCGCTCACGCAAGTGTGAGCGTGCAAGGATTTCTTAGAGGAATTTATTCTCTCCAAAACTGGGACCCAGGACGCCCACTTCCTGTGGGCACCCGTGCCTTGGCCCTCCCTTTCGTCGTGGCCGCTGATCTGAGCTGTCTGGCCTCAGTTTCCCTCCCACTTTTCTCCTCTGTACCATCCTAGACTGCTGCCTCTCATTGTTCTCGCTGCCAAATAGGGGTGCTTTGTGCAGGCTGCCAAGTTGGGGTGGTGTATTCTTTTGATCCCGTTTCCCAAACAAGGCCTCTAAGGCTGACCTGGGGCATCCCACCCTCTGACCCCCACTTCAGGTTGGAGCGCTGATTTCTTTCTTACAGAGTAGTTATCTTATTGTACAGGAGCCACGCCCTGCTTTCTTAAAGGCGCCAGGCACTGTTTGGCCATGTGTTATCTCTGCAGCTGGTGTATGGGAGGCCTCCTGTGAGCCGCTTACTTTTCCCGTCTGCTGATACTACGCCTCACTCCTGTCGAGGATTTAGGGATGCCAGGGGCAAAGAAGGTGATCCCAAGTGGCAGCAGCGGTGCCGCCCCTACGGCTGCTGCTGCTGCCGCAGCTGCCGCCCACTCTGGCGTGAAACGTTTGGAAACTCACGAAGGGGCCTCAGCACAGAGAGACGAAGAGCCAGAGGAAGAAGGGGAAGAAGACCTACGAGATGGAGGTGTCCCTTTCTTCATCAACCGGGGTGGACTTCCTGTGGATGAGGCCACCTGGGAAAGAATGTGGAAGCACGTGGCCAAGATCCACCCTGATGGAGAGAAGGTAGTCCAGCGGATCCGTGGGGCTATGGACCTGCCCAAGGTGAGACAGGGAGGCTGGGGAACAAGAAGCAAGGGTGTTGGTGACATTGGGGCTAAGAAAGTGAACGGCACAGCCTACCTCTGATGGGTGCAGTAGGGGATCATTTGGTATGGTAAGACTGTTTAAATACAGATAGGTCATATCTGTTAAGAACTTTCTCTCCAGTGCTTATGTGGTCATTTGATGAGGGAGGTTCAGCACCCTGTCTCCAGGAAGCCCTCCCCTATGGCTTTCTGGGTGGCACTACAGATGAGCTGACAACTGATGTGGCTTGGCATCTCTTTGGCTTATGACACTTGCTAAGCCAGATAATTATGAGTAGACTGATTGTGAATGACTGTGAGACCCAGGGCTTTGTATGGTGAGAAAGTATTTTCAGCCTTATCTCACTGAGTTCAATCAGCAACCTTCCAAAAGAAGTACAATTTGAGTCCCCTTTTAAGATGAGAAACTCAAGAGGGAAGTCAGAGTCCCACAGGTGTAAGTGGCAGGGCTGGGAACTCAGCACCAGGTCTTTGGGCTCCAGGTCCTCAGCTCTGCTAGGTACTAGGTTCAAGGTCATTAGCAGTGGCCCTGTGGAGAATAGAAAAGTTCAAGATTTTTCTGTGTTGGCTGGAACTCAATCACATGGTCGGGCCAAGGAAGGCAGAAGCTGTGTCTCATTCATCTTTGTCTCCTCAAGGTCTACTGTGTGCCTGGCACAAGAACGGGCACTTCTGTGTGTGTGTTTGCTGAATGAAAGGACATTTGAGACATTCTATGCTTTACAGTGCTATACTGGAAATGCACGCCTGTTTGTGCTTTTTTTTTTTTTTTTTTTTAAGGTTTATGATTAAGTCTAAGGAAGTGCCGTTTCCAGTACAGAGAGCCCTTTGGTCAGAGGTCAGAGCCCGGAGCTCAGTCCTGCAGGGAGGGGAGGGAGAAAGGAGCTGATGTGATATAGACATGGAGACAAGTGGCCTGTTTTGTTTTCACTGGGTTATTGGCAGAGCTCTCAAAAAAAAATGTTTTGGAGAAAAGATAATCTGAGGTTGAAGGTTGAGCTCATTATTTCCCAGCAGAAAGTGCTAGATTGATTTGGAATAGCTATCTTCATTATCCTTTCATCTATTTAGCTAATCTGACTAGACATTGTTTGCACTACCTTATCTTTAAAATGAGAATAGCACAAGCTAAAACAAATTTGGGCATCCAGCTTTGACTTTTGATCTTTTGATAAATTCCTGGAAGAGAAAGTTTGGCATCAAGGGATGTTTGGCTTTGAGTCACCTGCCTGGCCAGGTGACATCAGGCAAGCCACTCCAGCCTGTTTGAGGTACAGTTTTCACATCTGTAAAATGGGTTGGTGGTGGGGAGGGTGAAATAAGAAACCCTGTGTTAAGCATTTGACAACCTGCAAGCCTGACCTGTTGTGAAGGGGGAGACAAAATGCCACCCAGAGCTTTTGCGCTGATGAAGCTGGATCCCGTGCTGGATCCACGGGAACAGGACAACACTGAGCACACGGCTCTCTGACCATCTTGCTTTTCTCTAAATTGGGCCATGGGACAGTGGGGTTGGTGTCCTACAGAACAGTTCCACTCCTAGGAACTCAAACCATCAGTATCTTTTGTAGTGATTGGTCAGTAATGTCATCTTCAGTCCTCATGGACAGGAAGCACATGGTTGAAGAAGTGAAGCTATTTGTTGGAAAGGAAATAACAGAGACAGATGGGAGAATAGGAAGGTGGAAAGAATTTTATGAGAAGTCTGGGAAACTTGGCCAAGGGAAGGAAATGTGGCCCCAGGGGCCTTGGAGAAGAGCACTAAGATGGGGCACCATACTGTGGGCCTCAGAGAGGCCAGACCCTAGTCTGTCTGCTCCCTAGTGGCCTGCCATTGGGAGTGTGACAGAGGTGTTTCTGCAGAGGCCACACTGTATTATGGTGGGCTCAGGATGGGTTTTCTTAGGTTTGCAAAACATCTTAACAGACTGCTTTGAGCTGAAAGTTAAAATTGGGAGATTTCTCACATAAGGATCCATAATTTTGGCATCTTTACAGAAAATGAAGATTTGGGAACAGTGAATCTATGGCAGCTGGCAGTCGGGGCTGGGATTTTTTCCCCCTCTCTGGGTTTGCTACAGTCTCTCCTGCCCCCACCTGTCTTCTCTGAGTTTTACAGACTGGGTCCCTGCAGGAGGCTGAATCCTACAACTGCAGGGTGGTATGGGAAAAGTTAGAGCTCCAGAGGCAAAGCCACCAACCTCACTGTCTTATAACTACTTATGAGAAGGTGTGCAGCCTCCTTGGCCCTCAGCTTCTCCAGACGACAGTGGATCAGTAAGTGATGCCTACTTCAGAGGGATGCTGAGATGACCTGAGATAACAGTAAAAAAGCACATGATGTCTCTTTAGGTGAGCATCTAATAGGTGCCCACATGGGCATGCAGCAAGCCACAAGCACTTTGGGGAAAGAGTCTCTATTAGGATAATGCCAAGATAGCAAGCATATCAGTTTCTAGAGGGATCCAGAAAGCAGCAGTAGGTTCCATAAGAATCCTTCCTTATTGTTTGCATCTGCTATCCCCTTTGCAAGCCCAGCGACCACTTACCCAAACCCAGCTGCTAAAGGCTACTGAGTGCCTGCAGGTGGGAATTCAGGCATCTCCAAGAGGGTCAGACCACCTGGGGCATCCTGTACTGAGTACTGTCTTTGGCACACACCTTTAGCCGTAGCAGTGGACAGGTCCTGAGTCTACGTGTTCTGAGGTATCTGCATGCAGCAGCTCAGTGATGCCACCAGGTGGGTTCTGTTCTCTGCGTTTGCAAGCAAGGCTTTCGCAAACAGCATTTAAGGCACAGTTGCTCAGGAGCCTCACTGAAGTCAGAGCTGGGATCCATAGCCAGGCCAGTTCTGCTGCTGTATTCATTGCTGGATCTTCCTGACTCTTGTCTACAAGTCCAGCCTCAGGTTCTCCCACCTTCCCCAAGCTTCCTGATTGTTGCTGAGCTGAGGAACTCTTCTGGTGGGGTTGTCTTAGAACCCTGAGTTGTTGGGTTCCTAGAGCAAGGTATGCCCTTGGTAAGGTGGCCTTGGCAGCCCTGCTTGGGATCCCAGGTCTTTTTTGACCCCTCTTTCTTGCACAGCAACCTGTTCTTAGACCCTTTGTGTGATAGGTACCAATGGTGCTCTTGTGGGTCCCTCCTGGCCCTCACCCAGGAGTAGACCTGGATTTGTGTGAGCCTGAGTGATTCTTGAACTGTAGTTCCTTCCCTGTCCAGAGTAGTTCAGAGGCAGGATGGTGCACATACACAGCTCCAGTTGCTATACCCCACTTAAGAGGTGGGGATGATTTTGCCACACTGAGAGTGCCCCCTGAAGTCTGGTGACTTGGATGGATGTGCAGTGTTGCTCATAGGGGATTGCTAAGTCATTTCTGTCATACCTCTCCAACCCCATACCCTTGACCTAAGAAGGCCAGTTCAGGCCCCTGGAGAGTTTAGCATCAGTTTAGCATAGGATGATCAGGCAAGCAGAGGCAGGGCCCATTCCGGTCTTGTCTGCGTTAAAGCTGGTGGCTGGCTATAAGTAATGATGCCACTTTGAAGAGGGAAGTGATGTGAAAGGGGAAATACCTTCCCCAGGCTGTGGCATCTGCTGCTAGGGACTGCCCAGACAGGAAGGAGAGGACTCCTGGGAGAAAGGGGGAAGGGAGGTCGTGCTAGGCTGTCTCTCTGAATCATATGGCATGAGGGGGTCTGTTAGTGACATTGTCCTACAAACACTGTCAGGGTCTCCCACCATCAGCAACACTCCAGAAACAAGTGTGTGATGATAACTGGCATGTCACTTCCCTTCCTTGAGAGCCCAGCCACAGTAACCTCGTTATTTAAAAATTCTCATGGGCCAGGTAGGAGGGAGGGAGACACGGGACACTTGTAAAAGTTTAGGTGTGGTGGCACACGCCCTTAATCCCAGCACTTGGAGGCAGAAGCAAGCCAATTTCTGAGTTCAAGGCTATTTCAGTCTACATAGTAAGTTCCAGGCAAGTCAGGAGTGAGACCCTGCCTCAATTTTTTTTTTTTTAAAGTCCCCTGTGGGCCCCACCTCTCTACTACTAGAGCTGCCAAGGAACGAATGGAAGGAGTGGGTCCTTCCTCCCCAGTATACCCTGAGTTTGCCTAGGGATCAATACCCCTTCCCTTTACACACATCCCTACGTTTGCAGCCAGTTGGACATGGGGGAGCTCTATGTAGCCTTGGAGGGTCAGGTGGCAGCCTTGTGGGAGAGAGTGGGGGCCTCTATGAGGAGTCTGAGGCTACCTGTGACTGTACTGCTTAGGTGTGGCACGAGTGGGAGAGAATGTGTTGAAGCAAAACTACAGCAAGACCTGGCCCATAATATGTCCCCTTGGCCTACCACCACAGAGGCACCCCTTGACAGTTCAGGTTGACACTCTGGAAGGCCTGCACACCTGCCATGCCACTGGGGTGGGTAACATCTCTTTCTGAGGTTATGTTCAGTTGTCAAGGGCAGCATCTCTAGCTCAGGAGACCACCCTTGTAGAATAGGACACTGAGAAAATGAGTTTCTTAGTCTGTTTTCGTTTCTAATGAAATATCTGAGGCAAAACACTTAGAAGAAATGAAGTTTATTTAGCTCACAGCTTTGGAGTCTAGAAGTCCAAAATTGAGGAACCACATTGTTTAGCCTCTAGTGAGCATCTAAAGGCAACAGATGGCATCATAACAGGAGGGTGGGAAGAGATGTCACACTGCAAAACAGGAATCCAGAGGAAGGGGGAGGGGCCTGACTTGTCCCTTTTGTGACAACCCTGAGACAACCTTAATCCTTTCCAAAGACACACCCCCAGTGCCCTGACACCTTCCTCTAGGATGCACCTCAACATCACCAACCTGAGGACAGAGTCTTCAACACCTTTGTGGGGAACAAGCCATAGCCCAGAGTGAACCCCAAACCCAAACAAATTACCCTCAGTACTGACAATCTTGTTACATATTCATTAATGGTTATTTTCATTTCAGTAGAGTCATCTGTGTCTTTCTAAAATTATTAAAGAAGCATGAAATTGGAATGCCAACACAAGCTCCATGTTAGAAGTACGATCAGATGTCAGGAGTGAAGGGATGGCTGGGCAAGGGCCCTGGCTGAGGCTCTGGAAGGAGGGGTTGTCAGGGAAAGAAGCTCAGAGTAGGAGGGAAAGGAGGCTGCCCTCCTCAAAGTGTGGCTCCTGGAGGGCTGGGAGCTCTGGGATGTGCCTCATCATGTGACAGCTTTCTCCTTCTGTCCCTAGATTCCCATACCAAGTGTGCCTACTTTCCAGCCGACGACGCCAGTCCCTGACCGCCTGGAAGCCGTGCAGCGCTACATCAGGGAGCTGCAGTATCCTCTTGGGTCCAGAGCTGTGGCTGCCACTTAGTGACAGTCCCAAAGACCAAGTGGGGCTTGTTTCAGACAAGGCTGGAGAGGGATGGGCAGAGGCACCATCACTGGCATCTCTGTGCTCCCTGGAGCTGCTCAGATTGTTTCTGAGTGCTGGACCTGATCCAGTTTCTCTGACACCAGCTTCCTCCTTCTCTCTCTCTCTCTCTCTCTCTCTCTCTCTCTCTCTCTCTCTGTAGAGGGGAGGGTACTCCTGAGAACCTTGCTGAGGGGAGAAGGTGTCAGCTGTCACCACATCTTGTTCCAGCCAAGGGACAGAGAGAAGGCCCTTTGGAACTATTGCAATACTGATTTTAAAGGTGGGGGAAATAGTGAAGGAAAAAATTCTTTTGCTCTAAGATGTAATTTCCACATCTTGGTGTTTTCTCCTGGTTCTTGGTGTTTTTCTTCTCTGACAGGGGGCCTTGTGTCTCTGCTCTGGGCCCCTCCGGCACCTGTCCTGGGTCTTCTCTAGCCCCTCTGGTTGATGCTGAGGCCCAAGATGGGAGAATGAGACGTGGGTCCTAGTGGAAAGGCCAGCCTGAAGATAAGGCCCAGTCCCTCTCTTTGTCAAAGGGGAAACTAGAGTGCAGCGAAGGGAGGTGGTGGACTGGAGCTGAACCTTAGCCTCCAGACTTCTCAGCTGGCTTGAAAAAACCCAGCACTGCTGGGAACTTTCTCCCAGCTGAGCTTCTTTCTCAGCCCTGCTGGACTGGCTGCCCCCTCAGTGTCCCGCCCTAGGGCAGGAGGCCAGAGGAAAGCAAAGATGACTGCCAAAGAGTGGGGGAGAGCCTGTGAGGAGGAGAAACCCACATGCTGTGCTGACACCTCCCCACAAAGAGCCGGTCCTGAACACCTCCTTGTGGCAGACACTCTGGGAGTCCTTCTCCAGCTGCTATCCTGGGGTCTGAGGTAGGGGCAGAGGGAGAGGGACACCTTCTTCCAAGAAGCCCTTAACCAGTGACCACAGGTACAATCACACAGGGACACAGTTCTTTGAAATTAAGAAGAGCAGACCTCTGACAGGGTAAGCACAAAGCCTGGGTTCCCCCTTTCTCCTCCTCCTGCTGGGTTTGATCCTTTGGCAAGCCTCTATGGCTCTGTGCTTTGGAGTGGCAGTTTAGGGGACAGGCAAGGATTTTCCTGAGGAAAGCCAGCCATGGGATTGGGGAAGGGTGCTACCCTGGGGCCCTAAGGAAGTAAATCCCACTGAGATAGACAGCCCAGGCTGATGAAGAGGAAGCTTCAGCTAAACTAGGAGGGTAATCTCTAGCACCCTCCTCCCCAGCTTGCCTTGGTGATGCTAGAGGCTGGTCCCTGGTAGATGGCTGGTGTTTGAGGGGGTTTGGTTTCAGTGAAAAGCAGGTCTAGCAAGAAAGAGTCCTTCCTCCTCTTTCCCCCAAAGCTTCCCATGTACTCTACACTGCATGGTACCTATTGACTTACTTCTGGACTCTTCTGGTCACGAAGTAGCAGGTCCAGTATCTAAGCATCGGAGACCCCACAAAAAAGAAAACTGCTTCTCTCACTTAACATCCCACCACTCAGCATGCAGACTCTCAACTGATTCAGTTGTTCTAGGCTGTTTCTACCAGTGAAGCCCCAAAGGCAGAGGAGAATGAGGAAGGGATGTCACACTGAGTTAAAGATGCCCACAGGTTAAAAACCCCTGGGGTTTAGAAATCTCTGTATTTGGGGCTAGAGAGATTGCTCAGAGGTTAAGCACACTGGCTGCTCTTGCAGAAGACTGGGGTTTGGTTCCCAGCACCCACATGGCAGCTAACAACCATCCATAACTCCAGTTCCAGGGAGTCCAACACCTTCTTCTGGCCTCCATGGGCATTGCACACACAGCTGCACTTACATATAGGCAGGCAAAACCCTTATATACACAAAATAAAAGTAAATTTAAGAAAATCAAAGAACACGAAGTTTATATCGTGCTCCACACATAATTATGTCTGCTTTATTGTAAAAAATGCTTTACATTGCTTATTTGGTTAGTTACCCTCTCTTGAAGCCCTTGAGTGGAACCCACATTCTCTGTCCCCAAGCTTTGCTCTTATCCTGCATTTGCTGCACGCTGAGGTTCTATTCTAGCCTTGTGTGCCGTGCAGGAGCCCCAGGCAGAGCCAGTGGCCAGGCCTGGAGGATAGGCTGTTTTAAAATGGTGTGAATTCCAAGTTCAGGGGCCGGCAGGGGAATCACCAGGCAGCTGCCTGCCTGAGATCCACATCCAGGCAGGGAGGAGTTGCCATCTATCACTAAGTTCTTTGGAAAGCTATAGTTGGATCAGGAGTGTCCACTCAGTTCAGGAAGGGAAGAGATCAAAGCCAAGGTCTCCCCTCCCCCAGCCCTACTGCCATGGGAGAAGGCCCAGTTCCTCAGCTCCCATGGTCCTGCCTCCATTCATTGCTCCCCTCCCCCAGAAGTCTTTGAGCAAGAGCCAGCAGAGGGGGGAGGAAGTGAGAGGGAAGCACAGAGTGGGCCTCCTTCCTGAGCATACCAGTGTCTGCCCCCTACCCTGTCAGGTTCCAGACTGGGAGAGGGAAGAAAACACTGGGCCTGGGAGGAGGGCAGCTTGGGGGCAAGACTCGGACCACCTAGCCCACCATCAGAAAAGGCCTGAAGGAGCTAAAGGTGGTATCCACATAGCCCATCTCCTTTTCCCATAGGCTGATGGACCTGGCCAAGGAAATGACCAAAGAGGCTCTGCCAATCAAATGCCTCGAAGCCGTGATCCTGGGAATGTATCCTTCCTTGGGCCTGGGAGGCCTGGGAGAGGCTGGCTCAGGCTTGCCCATCCTCTGCTGCCTGCTGTGGAATGGGAGGGCATATGGGCTCCTGGGCTACCCCCTGTGCTGGGGCATCTCTCTGCCTCAGCATGGCGAAGCTTCCCAGGGGGGAGAGAAGTCCCTACAAGGGGGAAGAGACTAAGGGTATCCATCCCACTACTCACTGCCTTCCCAGTCCCACGGACAGAATCACCCTGTTTTCTAAATCAAATCTGGGCACAGTGCTGTACCTAGGCTGATGTTTGTGCCATTTCAAAGAACCAGTCTTGGAGAAGCAGCCGGGAGGCCCAGTGTTGGCACATCCAGGCAGTGCTGAGTTGTAGAGATGACAGATGGGGTCTTAGAAGCAGAACTGCCTAAAAAGATGTGAGGATTTTTCAGCCAGACCCCCAATGGCAGAGGGGTGATCTGTAGCTGGATCATCAGGGACACCACAGAGGACAGACAAGCCCCCAGGAGAGGTTGCTTTCTGCAAGGTCCCTAATCAGAGCAAGGGAAGGAGACAAGTATTTGTGACCAGTTCTCTCTTTTAATTGGCACATAGAACAATGGAGTGAACGATGGGCCAGCTGTCCTGCTCCCCAACTCAAGGCCAGTCAGGGTGATCTCTCTCCACCTGCCCACATTCCCTGCCAGCTTTTAAATGTGTTGCTGGTCCCAGGGGCAAGGAAGGCAGCCTGACCTGGCACAGTACTTAGAGGAGCCCAGGGGAAGGGGAAGGCTGATGGAATAAGGATCCAGTCTCTAGGAATGGTCCTGGGAGATGGCTGAAGATGAGAAACACACTTCTCTGAGGGGCTGTGCTCTGAGGGGTCCCTCTCCTGCCACCAACCTGCCTCAGGTTTATACAGAGAAGCTGTGCATCCTCTTTCCCCCAAAGGTCCCCAGTGCTACCTGTACTGTGGCAGTCATTTGTAACAGATCTGTGTCCAAGGAACCTACTAGCATTGCCCTGATCATAGGGTCTTTGGCTAGTTTAATCCTGGACCACCAAGAACTTCAGACCCCTGCCAGCACCTCCTTCTAGACTCATTTCATATCTCTCAGGCACCAATTCGAAAGCACAGGCTCTGCTCTCATAGAGGTGAGGCTGTTTCCCATCGCTAGAGTATACTTAGACCATGCTCCAGGCAAGATCATGTGAGCCTGAGGCCCTTCAGGTGTAACCTAGTGCTTGTGGATAGGAAAAAAAATAGGAGCAGTATCTGGACCAGGGGTCCCTCCCCTGTGTCCATATAGCTGCCTCCATCACTGTACATTAGTTCCTAGGTTTTCTGAGCCTCTGCAGGCTGTGCATTGCTCATGTGCTCTGTACCCCTGCTTGCTGGTGCAGTAAGCATTGGAAGAGTGAGTTCAGCTGGAGGAAAGATGGCATTACTGTCTGAGCACAGAGACTCAGGAGCCAGGTTCAGTTAGAGCAGAATCCTGGCTCTGACACATGCTGTATGACCTCCCACTGAGCCAGTTCCTCAGTATCGCTGAGGCTGAGTCTTCCTCTGCCAAAGGAGGTCATGGTAGTGGCTGTCACAGAACGTAATGTCTGTGGTAACATCACCATACTTTTATCTATTCATCTCCTTCTACACAAATATCCAAGGAGAGGTACTGAGTGTTAAAGACCTGGCTCTGTGCTGGGCCTTGGAGAAAGGAAAAAGGACAGGCTAGCTGCCATCCCTGTCTTCAGGAAGTTCACCTTCTAGTGGGGGAGACAGAATAAGAAAGTGAGAGAGAAAACTGTGGAACAGTGCTGAGTTCTGGAGGGATCAAAAATGAGCAGACTTGCTTTGGAAAAGAGGTGCTGACGGGCCAGCAAGATGGCCTAGTGGGTGAAGGTGCTTCCCATTAAGCCTGACAACCTGAGTTTGATTCCCCGCATCCACGTGATGGAAGGAGAGAACTGACTCCCACAGGCTGTGCACACAGGTGCACCCACCCACACCTCATACACACACGACAAATGTTGAAAGAAAAAGAAAAGAGGTAGTGATGTCAGCCACACCTGACACCCAAGGAGAAGCTGGATAGGAGAGGCGCACTGGTCATGAGGGAGTTGAGGCTGAGGTTCTGGGGGTGGGGGTAAGTGGCTAGAGACAGTGAGCAAGCAGGCCTAGACGCAACAGTGCTGGATGGCAGTGGTGAGGAGCTTGATTCTATTTGAGGGGTGATGGACAATGTAGGGGAAGATGGGAAATAGTGAGAAGAGGGGTATTGGAGTTTGGTTTCTATTGCTGTGATAAAACACTGACCAAAACCAACTTGGAAGGAAAGAATTTATTTCACTTTATACTCCCAAGTGACAGACCGTCTTTGAGGAAAGTCAGGCAGGAACCTGGAGACAGGAACTGAAGTACAGACTGTGTAGGAACACTGCTTTCTGGCTTGCTCCTCCGGCCTGTGTTCAACCTACTTTCTAATACAACCCAGGACCACCTGCCCAGGTGTGTGTGGTACCACCCACAGTGAACTGGGCCCTCCCATATCACTCATAACACTCATACACATAAAATAAAAATAAATAAATAATTGTTTTAAAGACAATGCCTTGCAAACAGGCCTACAGGCCAATCTGATAGAGGAAATTCCCCAGCTGAGGTTCCCTCTTCCCAGGTGTGATAAGTCGACAACTGAAGCTGTCCAACACAAGGGGACACTAAGCAGAACTATCTGCAGCCACAAGGAATCTGACAGGTGAAATGTCAGAGAACGTTTGTGAGAGGTTCTGTGACAGATGAGGTGGAAGTGACTGACAGCAGGAGGAAGGGAAGGAAGTGGGAGAAGCCCATTGGCTCTGTCCTCCCTACTCCAGCCTCAAGAGCTCTATAAAGCCCTAAGTCTTTGGAGATTTAGGATTTGGGGACCCTTGCTATCTATTGTCAGGAGAACCCTACTTGACATCAGTATCGGCCACTGGTAGGAAAATGTTCCCAGCCACGAGGCTGGATGCTAACTGACAGGATTTGGAGATGAAGAAACTGAGGTGCCTGGTTTCAGAAGCTGGTGGTCGAGGGGCCTTTTGGGCACACATATGTCTCATAGGTAAGGCCATCCCTGTTCTGGTCTGGTCCTTCTCCTGACCCTTTCCTTAGCTTGATGACTCACCAGTTACCTCACCAACAGCATGCCCACCCTGGAACGCTTCCCCATCAGCTTCAAGACCTATTTCTCAGGGAACTACTTTCGCCACATTGTGCTGGGGGTGAACTTTGGAGGCCGCTATGGGGCCCTGGGCATGAGCCGGCGGGAGGACCTGATGTACAAGCCACCAGCCTTCCGCACACTCAGTGAGCTTGTGCTAGACTATGAGGCTGCCTATGGCCGCTGCTGGCATGTGTTAAAGAAGGTGAAGCTGGGTCAGTGTGTGTCCCATGACCCCCACAGCGTGGAGCAGATTGAGTGGAAGCACTCTGTGCTGGATGTGGAGAAGCTAGGCCGGGAGGATTTCCGCAAGGAGCTGGAACGCCATGCCCGAGATATGAGGCTCAAGGTCAGGCTCTGCAACAGCCTACGGGGCCAAGGTGGACCTCTGTTTCTTCATAGGGTTCTCCTTCATGCCCTCACCCTGCTGCCCTGACTAATGGGGGTAGCCTGTGGTCAAAAGTTGTCTTGTTGAAGTTGTCCCTTCAGGTGGCCAGTCCGAGGACCCCTCTGGAAGGAGGAAGGGGATGAGCTAGACTTGTGTAACCATGGGTCTTGGACATGTGAAGGACAGGGACATGGTACTCCAGGTGTAGGCACTTTGAAGGGAAGAAGGGGGACACCCTGGTCTATCTGGGAGTATGGCAAGATGGGGTGGTGAGCAGCCCCTTCCACTCCTGCCCATTCTGACTCCCTGGGCCTTGCAGAAGACAAAGGACAGGCATGCAGTAAAGGCACAGGAGGAAATTGGCAGGAAGGGGGAAGGTCAACCCATTGGGAAGACAATGAAGGTGGTGGTTCCTTCCCCACCACACACTGCAGGTACTGGTGAGCTAGGGAATCTCCTGGAGCCAGAACAACAGACTGAACTTCTTCCAGCAGGCAAGGTTGAGGGGGCTCTCTCAGTCTTCCTGGACTGAAGTGTCCCTTCTATAGCCTGCCAGGCCTCTCTCCAGAGTAGGCAGCCCCTCTCCATTGCTCAGCCCTACTGCACTGTGACCTGCCCCTGTAAAGCCCTGTGGCTCCAGCATACTCCTTACATTGCTCTCTGACTCTCTGCTCCTGGGTCACTCCCTCTCCCCCTGCACCCTGTTCTTACTGTTGGGAACATGATTGTCTTCCAGGCAGCGGCTAGGCAGAGTTGGAAGCTATAGTTTCCTCTCTTTAATGCTGTTGGTTCCCAGCTGGCTCAGCACTGGGCTGCTCATGTTTCTGCCTCTCTACGGTATACTCCTGTTTTGAAAACTCAAGGCAGGCTGACCACGCTGCATATGGGATGATTCATTTGTTTTTCTTGTTTTTTTCTGAGAGATACAGCTACCAGTCTGACATCTGATTAGCTCAAAATAGGCAGTGTCACTGTTGGCTTGGGAGCATCTGTCCCAGAGCTCATCCATTTGCCATATCCCCACCTGGCACACACACCTGGCCTGGGTAAATGGGCCTTTCCTCCAGGGCGTTTCCAGTCCTGTGACAGCCTTGTGACTTCCCCCTGTGCACTGGCTTCTGGACCCACAAGGAGTGGATAGTCCTAAGGATCTGCTGCCTGGTGGCTTTGGTGCCAGGGGTGACCAGAGACAGGACAGAGGTCACCTGAGGCTTCAGGGAAAGGGGACTGCCCAGAGTTGCCTTAAGGGACTGTGGCTTCTGGTAGGGCAGGGTGGGCCATGGGGCAGCCTAGACTATGCTTTTGTTTCTTCCTCCCCACCTAGATTGGCAAGGGGACAGGTCCTCCCTCTCCCACCAAGGACCGGAAGAAGGATGTCTCCTCCCCACAGAGGGTGCAGTCCAGCCCCCACCGCAGAAACAGCCGCAGCGAGAGACGGTGAGAGAGAAGACTGTGCCCCTAGGCTCAAAGAATCCATGTTCTTTTCATCTTCCTGGTTCCTCTCTCTTTGCCCTTCCCTTCTCCTCTCTCCCATCCTTTTCTCCTTTTGAGAGGTTACTTGGGATGGTGGGTGGCATGTGTTTGTGTGTTTACATTGCCTACAGCCATGTGGTACCATTTCTACAAAGAAAACACCTCTCAACTGGCCCTGGTTACCCTGTGCCCAGCCTGTAGGTCTGAGGACAAAGGGTCTGAGGCTGGCAGCAAAATGGGCTATGGAGGGAGGATGGACCCAATGGGAATTTGGAAAAGCTGGGAGCTCTCCTACAGTTTGCTAAAGAGGGTCTCTAGATGACCCAAGGCTACCAGTCTGACACCTGCAGCCAGGATGGAAGGCTTTGAACACAACTTTTGCCCACTAGAATCTGGGTTTTGTCTGTGTCTAAATGGCAAAAAAAAAAAAAAAAAAGCTATTTAAATATCAGGCCTCCTGCTCTGACTCCCTCTCCCACGTATCATTCTGGCTCTTGCTTTAAATATAACTGTCCCTCAGGAGCTGCCTCTCTGCTGTAAATTAAAGGGTACTGAGAGCAGCTCTCCAAAGACCTGTCACCACTGACTTTGATCTAGGAGGCTTTTGTGGAGAACAGAATCCCCTCAGGGAGGTTAATACTTGAAGCAGTTACCCACCAACTATGTCAGGCTAGTCATCTCCAGCAAAGAGCAAGAGACTGTGTGGGAGAAGGAGCTTGTCCAGGAGCTCCAGGCTGACCCAGGGTTCCAGAAATACCTCCTCATACCCTCTGCTGCTGCCATAAAGGCTCCTTAAGGAGGGGAGGCCAGCAGGACAGCTCCTACCAGCTCCTTCCCTCCCTCTTCATCCATCTCCCTAGTAACCACTGACTGTTCTCCACCCCTCTGCTTTTCCTTCTGCAGGCCTTCGGGAGAGAAGAAGCCTTCAGAGCCCAAAGCCATGCCAGACCTCAATGGGTACCAGATCCGGGTGTGAGGCAGATGCCAGCACCCAGGCCTCCTCTGCTTCTGGAGGCCCAGACCCACCTGCACGAAAGAACCCACTGCATTCCAAGGCAGGGGCTAGTGACGGAGCAGGAGGTGGAGTGGGGGGCACAGGAAGAGGGCCTTGCAGTTCAACCCTAAGTGACCTCCCCCTTACATGGAGCCAAGCCCCTAACTGGGCCAAGAGGCAGTTAGTATTTTATTTGGAGTTTTCAGCTCTACAACTGAAGTTTAAGGTATTTGGGGGGAAAGACAAATAGATGTGCTGGAAGTTGGCAAGGCAGAGAGGGCTTGCTGTTTCTGCGTCCTGCCCTCACAGTGATGGGGGGTTGGGGAGCTTTGTCAACCTGTGGGTGGGGTGGGTAGAAATGGAGGTGTTTCTCCAGCTGGGCTTGCCCTGGCAAAATCTTGACCCAGGGAAAAGGAAGCAGGGTAGGAATCTTCCTGAGAAAGGTTTGTTTATTTCACAAATCAGGAGCTTGGCAGAAGCCATATCTGCCTAAGAGCCTGTGGCCCAGAAGAGCCCTCAGACATGAGACGCTCTTTAGATAGTACTATGTAAACCAGCATGGGGTGAGGCTGTAGGAGAACCAGGAGAAGACCATGGGGGATAAGGTCCCTGAGTCTGCTGGCTCAGTCCAGCCTTGCCTGCTGCTGTAGCCCAGGGGCTCCCTGCAGAGTGACTGGGCTTTGCAGAGGGTCCAGAATTGTACTTGCAGCAGAATAACTATAAGCAGCTGTGGCTGGACACAGGGGAGTGTGACGGGACCCCTGGTAGTATGAGAGTGGGCTTCTGTTCCCCTTCCAATAATCTCAGCCCTTGCCGGGAAAACCAGGACGCCTGCGCCCACCTCCCGTGATTTAGCTGCCCATTAAGGCTTGAAGTGGCAACCATATTTGGCAGCTCCTCCAGGTGCTGGCAGGGAGGAGCCCAAGCAGTGGGAGTTGTCTACCTCCTGGCCATCAGGCATGAGATTCTTGGCAGGAAAGATGTGGAGAGAGGCTGGCATGGCTGGGGAGAGGAGAGACAGAGCCCAGGAATGGGGAGTGTAAGTGAGAAGGGATGTGGGAGCAGTTCAGGATGGGGCTGTGTGGGGAGTAAGTTCCCTGCAATACAGATGGCACTGCTTGTCAGGTTGTTGGAGGCTTCAAGTGATAGAGGGCAGTGGAGGAGGTGACCATTAAGGGATTTTACTGGGAGTCTGAATCAGCCGGGGCAGCTGTCAATAAGGCTGCAGCGGGTTGAGGGCCTGGATAAAGGCAGCAGAATTAGGTTTGTGAACTCAGATGCCTACTGGACCAACAAGGTGACACAGGAGGGCTGGGTAGGGACTGTGGCACACTAAAGAGGGCGTGTTCCATTAAAGGGGCTGTTCTACTGTTCCCACAGAGCAGGCCCTATAGAATTGTCTGGTTTGGGGGGGTGGGGGGAGAAGACTAAACTAGTATGTGAAATGTGATTTTTAAAGGTTAGCAATCAGTTCAAGAAATTTAAAAACCTGCTACTATAGGTGCTGCATCCTCTGGTAGAGAGAGATTGTGCTGGGGAGGAGCCTCTGGCTAGGCTTTGGATAGGAAATATGAAAGTTCTGTTTCCCACGGCTGGGCAGGACAAGGCAGAGTGGCCCACTTCCTGTGTCATCCTCCTCACTCCCTCCTCCAGATAAACTGGAGACCACATGTATGGCTGGGTCACCAGAGAGGTTAGAGTGGGATACAATGGTAAAGCTCTTACCTGTCAGGAGGTGGATGGTGGCTGGAAGCAAAGAAAGGGGAAGGTAAGGGGGAGCTGGGATACCTTTGCTGATGACATGCTCTGCACAGAGGTTCATCATACCAGCAGCCCCTGGCCCAGAGCCAGGCTCAGTGAGGCCTGACACAGGCACCATGGGAGGCCAGCAGGCTAGTCCCTTGCCTCATCTGGTTCCACCAGGGGTTGGTGGGCCCCAGAGAGATACACAGCCTACCGCCAGGCTACACTCCTAGCCAGACCCATGAAAGGGGCATGACACTGTCTGATCCATCTTAGGGTTCAGGGAGGGGGGATGGGACTTCCTATGTTCCCACAGTTACCTGGAGATAGCTTTCTTTAGGAGGCACAAGGCTCAACAGAGTCCTTTCTGGTACTAGATGTGGCTACTTATCCTCAAGAGAGCAGCCCATATGCCTCTGGGAACTTTAAGATACAACAGGTTATGGGAGGAAGGTGTGAGAGGACCTGGGAGTCAGACTCAGGTAGATTTTGAGAGCTGGTCTTGGTCCCAGAGCCTCGGGACACTCTGCTCTGACCCTAGTTTCTTCCTCTGTGGCCCTGGAAAGAAGGAAGCAGATAGAGCCTTGACATAGCTGTGTGTGGGAGCCACTGATCCCCAGCTGTAATCCCCTGCCATTCACCTTTCCTGAGGATCTCAGGCCTGGAGAGACTGCCACAGGCCACAGTGGTGCTTTTTAATTTATTTTTGACTGTTTCTCATATGTAGCAAGCCCTCCTCCCCTCCTGGACCATTTACATAGGCTATGCTCCCTGAGGCTGGCCAGGCTGTGAGGTTTTGGGGGAGACAGAGGAAGGGACTTTGGGGCCTTAGTCACCATCCATGGCATCACCTCATCTCACTTCCTATGGGGGACAGGAACCTGGTGGATATGACCCCAGGCCCCCTGATTCAAGCCTTCCTTTCAGTTCCTACATTTATCCCCCTTCTGGGAGTGCTGGCTGAGGAAGAGATCAAAGCGAGGTCAGACGAAGCTTCTTGGTAGGTGGCCTGGGGCAGGAGTTCCCTGCGCTGGGTGTGAGGTGAGAATACTGGGAGGCTGGCTTCAGAGGGCCTCTCCACCGAGCTGTCAGCCAATCCTTACCCTCCATCGCCTCACATCTCCATCCTCCCCTCATCCCTCATGCTAGCCACTCGTCCTTAGTGGAAGAGATCAAAGTGAGGTCAGACGAAGCTTCTTGGTAGGTGGCCTGGGGCAGGAGTTCCCTGCCCTGGGTGTGAGGTGAGAATACTGGGAGGCTGGCTTCAGAGGGCCTCTCCACCGAGCTGTCAGCCAATCCTTACCCTCCATCGCCTCACATCTCCATCCTCCCCTCATCCCTCATGCTAGCCGCTCGTCCTTAGCATGGGCAAGGGTGCAAAGCAGTAGCCCTCTGGCCCCAGACTGGATGATGAAGCCTAGGGACCAGGTACCGAGGCAGAAAGACTCAGGAAGTTGACCATGGCTGAGGTCTAGTCCTTTCTGTCATATCATGCCCCTGTCCTTTTCAGCTGTAACTTGACTTCCCAGCTTAGAAAAGTGGTCTAATGGTAGCTGCTGGGGGGCTCAGAGATCTGTGTGCATGCACATCTGGCTTTCCTGCCTGGAATGAATTCTGGTTTAGCACACCATGGTCCCACTTGGAAATGGTATGTCTGGTCTTAAAGTGCAAGAATGTACAAGTGGGGCCCCACAAGCTGGTGTAAAGTGCAGGGATATCCTCCGAAGGAGTGGGAGTGGGAGTTAATGCATGCACTCCATTAGGTACCACAGCCCCCCACCAGTAACCCCAGGCTGGTGGGACTACCACAGTGATAGCTACAAGTCCATTGCTAGGACCCTCTCACCCCACCTTGGTGCTCTGGGGTCCCAAGCTTCCTTTTTCCTTCAAGTCTGACAAGAAGGGACCTGGGTATGCTTGACCTTTGGGCCAGTGATGATGGACCATCCACCTGCCCCTATGATTTGTTGAGCTGCCATGTTGTCCTAGATGTCCTTCTGTCTTCATATCAGTATTGCCTTTCACTTTGTTTCATTCTTTTCTTTTCCCCTGAAGTGAATAAAGTGTCTGCAGCTCCGGTTGTGTGAGCTGGCAGAAATACATGAAACCTTGTCTGTTTAACTTTGGGATCTGGGGCCCAAGCCCATCCCCACCCCCACCTTCCCTTTGGCTGCAGGAAGAACCCAAGATACCAAGCAGAGAGGAGGGGTGCCTAAAGCAGGGAAGCCCACTGGCCTCCGCAAATCATAATGGAGTTTCTGGATACTGGCTCTCAGCCTGCCAAAGCCATTCATGCGCTAGCTAACATCTGGGAGCAGGTTTCCTATCTTGCTGTTAGATACTGCTTCCTCATACAGCAGGTGGGTACCTAGAGTCAGCTCCCAGAACCGTGGCCCAGCTCTCCCTACCCTAACCCACCGTAGTCCATCAGGATAAAGTCAAAAGATAGCTTGTTTCAGGAATCCACAGCAACAAGGATTTGAAGTCCTTTCTCATTGGTTGCTGTCCTCCGCTTTGGGGAACATCTCTGGGACCCCACTTTCCCTTGACTCTGCACCTCCTCCCACACTAAAGCAAGCACAAACACTTGAAACCAAATTAATTCATACAAGAAGTAGCTCTTAGAGCCCATAGCATTTGTCAGCCTGGATCCTTGCATCTTTGGGAGGTTACATCATAACCCAGTCAATTCCCACTCTGTCTCAGTTGGAAATATAGTTTAGCAAGCCTCTGACATTTGCAGTGGTGTGATGACCAGGCTGGGAGCCAGCATAGCAGCTGGGGAGGAGAGGCCATCTACTGGTATCTACAGACAGCTAGAACTGTTCACTGTTAATAAAGGCAATTTTATTGCCAGCTAAAATGATACCCTGAAGAGCCTTTCCACAAAGGTAACGAGAGTTTGTGGATACAGTGAATATGGCATTCTATGAGGACATGTGTACACACTTTAGTCCAGCTATGATGATGTATAGCTGAGGGCCTGGTGGGCAAGCTCCAATGAGGCAGGCTAACAACAGACCTGAACTATTGGTGCATGCAGGAAGGGTGGAGAAGGGCTGGGGTGAGCCTAGGTCATGAGTGAAGCAGGGTCATCATGGTCACTGTTAAGTCACGTCCATAGCATGAAGATGTGTTGCTCCTGACCCTTAAGTGGCTTGGAACCTAGCTCCCTGGGAGAAGGGGTTGCCTCACTCCCTGCAGCCCTGGTTCTCCCAGGCACACAGCCTGTGCCTACCTAATTTAGGCATGTGACAACTGAGTGCACATGGCACTTCCCAGAGCCCTGAAGAGGTTGATGGTCTGCTACCCCCATCTGCCAAGACCTGGCAAGATTTTGACTATTGTGGAGGGCAGTGCCAATGGGAAGCAGTTGTCATACCACAGACTAAGGAGACTGACCCAGAGGGGGGTTGCCTGGTAACCCTTAGTGTTTGCCAAGGGAGGTGGAGAATCAGCTGTAGAGGCCTTGCAGGTGATGGAGAGGGGCCATCTCAGGTCAGCTGGAAGGCCAGCTCTCTGAGTCAGCCCACATGACAACTTCCAATCCCTAGCCAGAGAGAATTTGCTCATGGGAATCAGAACCTCCAAGAATTCAAGTGTAGTAGAGTTTAAAAAGTCATTCTTGGGGTTGGTGGGATGGCTCAGTGGCTAAGTGCATTTGCTACTCTTACAGAAGACCCAGATTGAGTTCCCAGCATACACACAGTCGCTCACAACCATCTGTAACTCCAGTTCCAGGGGATCTAACACCCTCTTCTGTCCTCTGCTGGCACCAGGCATACATGTAGTACACATACGTACATGTAGGTAAATGCTCAAAAAATGCCCTTCTCTCCATTAGCCAGCTGATGCCTCCACTATAGAATCATAGGAACTGACTTGGGATGGATGGAAGGGCAGACTTCCCTTCAAAACACGGAATTCACAATATTCTGCCACTGGCAGATCTGCACCCTACTGTGCTCTCTGGGTATTCCTTGTCTTCAACAGTTTAGTTCTTCATATTTGCTCAGGAAGAGAGAAAAGGACAGGCAGGGTGCACCAGGGTATTGGGAGCCCAGGACTCCAGGTTGCTCCTGCTGGTGGAAACTAGATATGGACCCTCCCACCTTGGGAGAAGAGAAGCTTGCACCTTGCTTTAACAGACCAAAATATAATACCTCAATGAGTTGCTATAACAGCACAGGAACTGGAAAGAAAAAAGCAAACACCACCATGCTGGGCTGATCATATCCCTTCTCTAGACTGGCTGGCCAGTGAGTCCCAGGATTCTCCTGTCTGCCTCCCCAGCACTGGGTACAAGCATGTGCCACCATGCCCAGTTTTATGTTGGTTCTAAAGCTGAAAGTTGCTTCTGAGCTCCTCTCCCCCAGGCACCTGCCCTACAAAGGGCTACTCCACAAGAGAACCTGTGCTCGAGGAGCAGACTAGCGAAAAATAAAGCAAAATTTCCAGATTCTGTGCCTGTCTCTGGGTTTCTAATTCCTCAAGTGTCAGGGTGCTATCGGGACCATACCTGCACTGTCCTCTAACAGTGCTGTTATCTTTACGTTGAAAGTGCAAGCAGGGAATTGCTCAATAGTAAAGTATTTGCAAGTATGAGGACCTGAGTGAGTTTGATTCTCAGAACAAATCTCTGATGGGAAGGCAGGCACAGGAGAATCCCTGGGGCCCACTGGCTAGCCAGTCTACACTACTTTGGCCTGGGCCAATTGAAAGGCAAGACCCTATCTCAAAAAAAAACAAGGTGGATGACTCCTGCACAGAGAGAGAGAGAGAGAGAGAGAGAGAGAGAGAGAGAGAGAGAGGAAGCTCAATCTAAACTATTAACTGAAGTATTAAGTGTTGACTGAGGAACTAGGGGGGTCTTCCATTCAGGAAAGGGGGTATTTAGAACTGTAACTCAAAGCTTAAGAGCTTTCAGTTACTTCCAAGCCCAGGGGATTAGTCATCCAACCTATCTGGGGACAATTGTTCACCCCATCTCCTACACCCCATCTCCTACTAGAAGTCTTTGGAATTCTTAGCATCCCTTTCTTGCCATGGTACTAACAACACAGATCTGAAAACTCACAGTAGAAGTACTACTTTAATCCCTTTCACCAAAGGATGCAGAATAAACCATGGAGGTGTTATGTGATTTTCCTAGTCACCAACCACCCTGGTCAAGATGAGGCATGGTCTTCCTAATCCCTGGTAAAATTTGCTTTCTCCATAATCTATGGATTCTGAGCTAGAGCACAGTGCACCTGAAGCTCCAGGTGGCTTAAAATAACTCAGATCCTCAGACACTGGCTCTGAAGTCAAGTATGGGGTCTGGGAATCTGTGGAAGGAAGAAAACCACACCTGGTCTCACATGACCTTGGTTTGGTGTACTACAGAGGGAAACTGGAGGACTAAAGTGCCATAGTTCAGCCTGGCAAGGAAGAAAAGTGTTTCCAACGACAGATGGCCCACAGCTCAGCCCTGGCGCCAATGCAAAAGAGATGATCAGAAATAGATGCTAAGCAAGAGGCATCTGCCACATACACCATGCCTCACCCAGCTGCCACAGCTTTGACCAGGAAAAATGTATCTTATCCCACTTTCCACACAAATCTGTCTGAAAAGGGGACAGGCTACAGAGAGGCACAGGGCAGCAGATGGAAGAACAAACAGCTACATTAGAGTCAATCACCTCACATGTCTGGGACATGTGGGCAGCTGCACCCAGTGGAGGGCAGGGCAGAAGACTTTGCGCAAGCCCTCTTCCTCCCAGGCCGTCAGAGCACAGGGAGGATGTCCAAGTCAGATGGCAAAACTTTGTTCTCCATTTAAATCTTGAGACCCCACTCTCAGGATCAAAGCTCTTCGGTCCCTTTCTCTACCCACATCCTCCAACCCTCTCTCAAACTCTTGCCTTTCAGGGTCTTAATAAAAACACCAACAATGGGGGCAGGGGATGTAGAGTAAGCCTTTATTTGAAAAAAATGTTGCTCGGTTCTGCCGGCTGCGAAGTGCAGTTTAAATACCATTTAAATCCCCACACTTTATTTCTAAAACAAATAAGAAAACAAGAAAAAGATAAACTGTCACGCTCTGGCCCTCTGCCATCTTTAGCAGTCTGAACCTGCATTTCCTGGCAGAACAATGATGGGCCCTCATCCTGGGAACCAAGAGGGCACTGTCTTGAGACCATACCAGCAGGTACCCAGAGAGAGACAGTGAACAGAGGCTGTGGACAGACAGGCCTGGGGCTCAGACAGGCACATGTCTGTACCTAGAAAACAAAGTTTAAAAATAGACATTCGTAGGAAAAGAAGCTGACAACCAGCAATGGGTTTCAGCTGGGTCTTTGGCTTTCATATAAAGGAAAGAACAGTAACCTCTGGTCCACCATATCTGGCTGACCCTCCTGGCTATTACCTCATCTACTGTGGAGATGGTACAGGCAAACCAACAAGGGCCAGCATCCACTCTGAATTAATGATAAGAGGAGGATCTGGCCCCAAGGACACTCTAGGCCACACCCCAGCATGCAGGTGACATGGTCTGGGCTACAAGGGCCCTGTGTGGGCCAGGAGATCTGGAAGGGAAGGAGTGTGAGGTCTTTCTGGGCGGAGCAAATCTTTAGCATTGCCACCCTGAGTTCTTAGACCTGTTTCATCCAAAGTCACCCTTCTGCTGAGAGGGTTTAGTACTGAGCTAAACAGCAGGCTTTTTTAGAGAGAAAATGGAAGGGAACAGGAAAGGCAGGAGGCAGAAAAAAGTAAAAAGTGATGTGAGGAGAGAAATAAAAATGTTTTTAGGTGTGTAGAGGTCACAGAATGAGTCCCATGGGACTCTAGTCCAGGCTGAGGCAACGATGGAGCCCCTGCTCTTTCCTACTGGGACTCCCACTCTTGCCCAGTTTTGTAGAATCCAGTGATACAGGTTTCCTGAAGGCTCTTTCTCCTTATCCTTAAAATGTTTTCAAAGTCACACCATGCCAGCCTACTGAATCCCAACACAAGGCTTCAAACTTCTACTTTCCTCAGGGCAGCTCTGCCCAAATCATCTAGGTTTGGGAGGAGTTCTTGGGTATAGTGCATCCTCAAACTGCTGCTCCAGGTTGTGGGCCCAGATAACAAGTGTGCTCTGGCTGCCAGGATAACTGACTAATGAAACCCAGAGGGTAAAGGGAGAAAGGACCCCCACACCTGCGGCCTTCTGGCAGCACACAGCTTCCGGGTCATGCTGTCAACCTGCCCCAAGCCCAGGACCTCACTGTGGCATGTGGGCTAGGCAGAGGAAGATCTGGCTGTGCTGGGTAGTCCCATCCCAAGAAGAGGAAGCACTACAAACACCTCTCATGTGCATGCCTAGCCAAAGGGCTCCTTGGCCCAGAGGTCATGAAGGGAAGGAGAAGGCTGGGTCAGAAGGTATACCAAGAAATGGCCTGAAAGCAAATAACCAATGAGATCAATAGCTCCCACAACCCTGGTCATTAAAAATCGAGGTGGGTGCTGGGTACATGGAAGGGAGGGAAGACCCTTTCTGCCTCTTCCAGGGCCACCAAGCATGTAGCACAGGATTAGGAAGAGGTTGGGGTAGAGCAGGGGCCACAGGCAGAGAACGTGGATAAGGTCTGGACAAAGTCTAACCACGGGCAGAAGGGAACAAGGGGCAGGGCAGGGACATAAGTTTCCACAGCATGGGGCATTTGCAGTCGTCGATCCAGTCCACTCTTCCAGAAGAGAAGCTTCACGGGGCAGTGACTTCCATGCCAAAACTGGCTACTAGGCAGAGATGGTCTGAAGAGCAGAAGGGGTTGGGTAAGCCGTTGGCAGCCCAGAGAATCTCTTCAGAGAGGAGGGAGAGGCGGCCCAGGAGCTTGAGAGTTCTATCTCGATCCAGCCTATGATCTGGGGCACAAAGCAGAAGCCAGTGGGTTTAGTAGCCACCCAGCCATGCTGCATGGTAGACAGGGCAGGACTCTCAGAACTCCCATCTTAAAGTAGGTGACATTCCCTAATCCCTTCCTGAGCTTCTGACTATGAGGTTTAGTTTCCTCACAGACTCCTGTGATAACATCAGTGAACAAGGACAAGTACAGGGACAGTTGGGGCAAAGGGCCCAGCATTACAAGGTTTTTTATTTTCCAAGAGAAGCAGAAACATAGACTGCCTGTATAAAATCTGATTTTTAAACATAGGCAATTAATTCAAACATTCTAAAAAATATGTATCAAGCAAAATAGGCATGAGGCTAGTGAACGGCTCACTGACTATTGGTGAGAAGACACAGGGTCTGACCTCACCAAGACTCTCCCTAACTATTGCCCCGAATAAGTCTCATCACTAACTAGTGCTGTACTGTTTACTCTAAAATGGGGATGGAGAGTAACTACCTCCTACTCCTCTGATGCTACAAGGATACAGGAAAAAAGCAAGCAGTAGCCTAGGCCAAACCACCAAAGGCTGTTCCCAGGCACCTCTTTGTTTTCTTTAGTCTTTTTGAGGCAGGGTCTCACTATGTATCCCTGGCTGGCCTGGAGCTCACTATGTAGATAGATCTGGTTAGTCTTTGACTCACAGAAATCAGCCTGTCTCTGCCTCCCAAATGCTGAGATCAAAGGTGTATGCCACCACATCTGGCCTTGAGGTAGCTTCTTGATCCACCAAGCTTACCAGTTCTGTTTTCATTCTCACAGGATTCAGCTGAGAAAAAGATGTAATCCACTGTCGTGCCAAGACCTAACGGCATCGTGGTGACCTCTGGCTGGCCATGCTGGGGCAGGAAATGAGTATATACTGAGGTCAGGTGGAGGCAGTGCTGGATGGTGCCTATAGTCCTACAGTGACAGAGGGGAAGATGTCAGCTAACAAAAATTATTACATTTTTCTCAGATCATTTTTCTCTGTGGGTTTTACAAAGATTATTTTTTATGTATATGAGTATTTTGCCTGCATATATGTAAGTGCATGTATGCGGTACAAAACCCACAGAGGCCAAAAGAGGGCATAGGATCCCTAGGAACTGGAGTTACAGTTGTTATCCGCCATGTGGGTGCTGGGGATCAAACTCAGGTCCTCTGTAAGAGCTGCCAGTGATCTTAACTGCTGAGCCATCTCTCTAGCCCCTTACAAAGATTTTTCAAGGGATAATCCCTAAGGGTAGTTTCAGGCAGATGCTAATGCCAGACAATGTGTGGCAGTGTCAGAGTCTCTGGAAGAAGGCCCTTAGAATCTCTATGTACAGCTGTGAAGATGAAGTTTAAGTTGCAGTGGATATCCCAGGATACTGGAGATGCCAGGATCATGGAATGACCACCAAGGAAAGCTGGAGACATGGAGTAGATCTGGCCCAAGAGAGAGGCTATGTGTGATACAGGGGCTAAGGCTACTCAAGTCCTTAGGAGCTCAGATGATTTTATTGCAAGATCCAGGTGCCCAACACGGAGCTATAGAATTTGGTGTTTTCTCTGCTGAGTTTTGGTCTTTTTTGGTCTGATTATTTCCTGCTATCCCTTTTAGAGTGAGACGTTTATTCTGTGCCATTGTAGTTTAGAAGTATGTAACTTTTTTTGATTGTACATAGGCTCATAGCTAAGAGTTTCCTAAGTCTCAGAAGAGACTCAGCACTTGCACTTTTAGACAGTGTTGGGAATGTTAAAGACTATGGGGATTTTTGAAGTTGGGCTGAATGCATTTTGCATTATGAGATGGCTGTGAACCCATAAGGACATGGGGATTTATTTAGTTCATCAAGCTGACAAAGAATAGAGTTGGGGTGGTTAATACTGTCAACTTGACAGGACCTAGAATCACCTAAGAGGCAAGCCTCTGGGCAGGCCTGTGTAGAATTATCTAGAGTATGGTCAATGTGATAGGAAGACCCACCTTGACTGTGGATATCACCATTCTATGGGTGGGATCCTAAACTTTATTAATAAAAAGAAGAAAGGAAGTTAGGCACCAGCATTCATCACTGTTTCCTGACTGTGGATGCGTATGATGAGTCACTGCAAGCTCCTGCAGCCATCACTTGGCCGCCATGATGGACTACAATCCTTGAACTGTGAACCAAACTAACCTTTCTCCCTTAAGTTGCTTTTGTCAGGATATTTTATCACAGCAACAGGAAAAGTAACAATACAAAACTCAAATCTCAAGGAACTCCTCCCCATACTAAGAAAAACAACAATAAAAACAAAACAAAACAAAACTGGTTACCTTGACTAAAATTAACCTAAAAACAGACACACTATTGCTGAGACCCCCTGATAATCCTCATCTGCAATCTCCATTCACCTGGTAAAGAATATCCAATGTACCCCTGTCTGTGGGCCAGTAAGCCTGCTGGGAGGCTTTATCCCTCAAGGAAGGACTGCATGGGCTTTTGACTTGCAAGAAGATCACCTGTACAATCCTCTGTAAGCTTATAAGGGAAAGATATAGAGCTTGGGGGAAAGTATTCCCCCAAATCAGTCTCAGGATGGCCAGGGGGAATCTCTCTCACATCTAGAAGGAAGATGGAAAGAAGTTTACCTGGGGAAGGCAGGCTCAAGCTCAGATGTGTCTTCCTCAAGGATATACTCGGCCCAACCAGCAGGTCGATCTATAGAGGACCAGAGAGAAAAGGTTTTATTATCCACAGACAGTGAAGCAGGATCAGAATGTTTCACCTTCAAATCCCTTTCAGATCCTTGACTACATTGTTCCAGAAGGATCTATAAGGGAAAATGGAAAGAAAATCAGTGAGGAGAGAAGGAAAATGAACAAAACCAAGGCCAAAAACCTGAGGCCTCTAATATTGCATTTTTAAAAGAACAGGTTGTACAGTCACATAGTACAAAAATCAAAATGAGGAAAAAAATTAGTGAAGACTCCCTTCCATGTACCCCTGCTATTCAATTCCCCTCTCCAGGGACAACCAATGTCATCAAATTCCTCATGCATTCCCCTTGAAAGTTTTATCACGTACTATCCATTATGTGTACATATATGTAGACACATGAGCTCATATACATACACATACACACACACACACACACACACACACACACACACAATGTATACTCATTTATAAAGAAAAAAATATAAAGTGCCAGACTCAGGGAAGAAAAGGGGGATATTACTACAGAGTTTATTGACATTAATAAGATAACAAGGGTTGACACTGACAAATATTTAGCTGGACTAACCAATAAAAAAGATGTGGGGATCTAAAGGCCCCACCTTGCATAGGTCCGAAAGGAAGTTACCGGGGGTGCGGCCTGGCTTGCTTTGAACGAGTGAGCGAGTCAGGGGCCCACGTGAAAGCCGGGCAGGACCTGCGCAGTGGCTGCTGGGCGCATTTGAAAAACAAACAAACAAACAAAAAACCACAACAACAACAAAACACAACAACAACAAAAAAAAAAACAAAACCACCTTTGTCAGTGTGCCAACAGTTGAAAAGGCCCAGGGGAAGGTGGCTCAGGGAGGGGCCCCGCCCCTTCAGTTCTGTGGGTGGCCAGGGAACCATCCCGCCCCCGAGTGTTACAGCCCACCAGCAGCAGCACTCGCCAAATCCCAGGCCAAGGGAGTTCTTAGTAAAGCCAACCATGTTTTCACTGACTGGGGCAGATGTGGAGAAACCAAAAAGCAGCTCAATTCAAGGAACTCATGGCCATTGCTTTCTGACAGTATTCAGACTCGTACGCTCCTTAAAGACGCTCCTATCTTCTTACAACATCTTAAGGGGCACCAAGGATTGCCTAGGCTTTTATCCCAAGGCAATGCAGAGGCAGACAAGGTGGCTTCCACCCAGGTCCTGTCAGCAGGCCTGAATGAAGCTCAGGGGTTACATAACCTCACTCATGTAAATTGGTGGGGACTCCGTAAGAGGTTTCCTCAAGTTCCCATCAAGGACCTAAAGAAGATTGTACATACCTGTAAGTCTTGTCAACCCTTTCTACAGGTACCGCCTCTGCAACAGCCAGGGGTAAACCCCAGGGGACTCAAGCCCAATTCCTTGTGGCAAACAGATGTCACACACTATGCTCCTTTTGGAAAGCTTAAGTATTTTTGTGTCCATCAACACATTAAATCTAAATATGCTCAGTCTCATTTTCTCCAGTGCTTTGCAACCATCAAAACCTAAAAATTCAATTACAAAAACAAAAAGGGGGAATAAGCCCCCACCAACAGTTGGGTATGGCCTTATTCACTATTAATGTTCTTAATTTTCAAAAAAATCAGTTGGAATCCCGGTTTCAGAAGCATTGGGGACAAGAGAAGCAGAGACCTGAGGTACGGGTAAGATGGAAGGATCCCATTACCGGCCAATGGAAAGGACCAGATCCATTGCTAACCATGGGTCGAGGCTTTGGGTGTGTCTACCCTACAGGAGATTCAAACTCCATATGGGTACCTGCGAAAAACCTTAAGTGGGTAGGCCAGGATCTGACTGACTAGCATGACGGTCCATAATTCACGAGACAAAATTCCTCTATTTATATACATCCGAGGTGAAGGGCCCAGTTCCTTGGCTTCATTGCCAGTCAGCCCCTTTGACAACTGGCTGATTGGCTAAAAGGTACATGGTCTCAGAAGTATTTCAACTTGTCCTACACCATGACTTGCTTTGTTTCTCTTGATAATGCTTATCTTTAAGTGTCTTTACCAGATAATTTGGCAACAGAGGACCCTTGGAACTGCCACAGCCCACCTCCTCATGATTATGGACTTCCCCAGGACCCCCACTGGTTGCCCACGCTTGGCTAACCAAGTTAGGCAGAGACTAAGACTGTCATGGGCTGGCATTACCCACGTGGCTGCCCTTAATCATGATGCATTTTT